TGCTGGCAGTGTGGCGCCACAGGTCTTTCTGTGGCCTTCCTTGGCGCGCAAGACAAGCACATGGTCTACCGGTGCACCAAGTACTCTTGCCGAGCCAAGAAGAACGCTCTTGCCTGCTCTGTTGTACTACCACCTCACCTTGCTCGTGGCCTGGACCCTTGCCAGGTTTTGGCCGCAGTTCGCTACTACCGCAGCACGGGTCAGCTGCCTACTCCTTCCCCTTCAGCAGCTTCCCGTTTTCTGGGCAGCGGACGTACTGGCTTGCAGACTCTTTTCCAGGCGCTCTTGCAGCAGGAGGCTGAGCTGGGGCGCGCTCTCTGCAAGAAGCTCGTTCTTCGCAAGCAGGTCTCATGATGGGATATGCGGTTTTAGGGTGCCTGCAGTTGTTCCTTTCGGGTTTGGGGTTGTGATTAGACATAGTTTCTAGGAATCAGGGTTCCCGGTCCTCATGCAGGTGGAGTTCGATGCCACGTGTGTGCGTACGATCCGTATTTCCGCAAAGTCGAAGACCTACAGCTCTTTGGTCCAAGAGTGGAAGGACCCTGGTAAGCCCTAAGCCCAAATCCCTCATCCCTGCACCCCTTAACATTCACCCCTAAGCCCTAATCCCTCATCCCTGCATCCCTTTACATTCAGCCCTAAGCCCTGCTCCCATCCCTTGAACCCTATACCCTTTCAGGACAGACATCCTCGCAGGGCGCCTCCTCCGTCCTTCCTCTTGTACTTGCGTGTGTTCGGGGCCAAGGAAAGAGGCAGTCAGAAGATGGTCATAGCTCAGGCGCCCTTGACTTTAGTTCCCAAAGGAGCGAAGCCTCCTCCGGAAAGCGTGCAGGAAGTTCTTGACAGTGAGCTCTTCAGCAGGACACAGCGGAAGTCTATCTGCTATGCTGATGGTGCTCGTGCGTGGCCAGCAGCTGCGAAGCAGGTGCGCAAAGGCTTCAAATTCAAGCAAGTCTCCCACGTCAGGTCCCAGTTTACCAAGAAGACACGAAAGTACGTGTATGGAACCCAAACCTTGGACCGTGCTTGGATGTGGATGAAGCGATTCCTAGGCCATGGATTGAAGAGCAGAGTGCGAGATCAGGTCAACCCGGCTCTTTTGCACAAGTGTTTCCAGTTCGTGTGGAGGCACTGCAATTCTGTTTCCTGAGCTTGACATTTTACGTGTCGAACAAAGTTTGCAAAATCTGCCCTTCCGGATGGGCAGTTTCGCCACAGCGGCAGCACCGTTTCCTGAAAAAAGCCCGCCCGTCTCAGGGTTTTTGGCTGCTTCAGATTTGCCGCAAACCTTTCACATGTGCCCGAAACCCAGGTTTTAAGCACTTCTCATAATTCCTGCAGCAAGTTACTATCAAAAAACGCAGGGTCTACGAGCCCGCGCGCTACCTTTTTTTACAACAGGTTGCTCAGCGTGCCTCACCTATGTTAAGGTTCAGAGCTTGCTGGCTGCATGTTTCTCAGCGAAGGCACTGAGTCAGCAGAAGGCGACTGAGGTGGAG